AGTGCTTTCCATAAAATCGACAAAATGAAAAATATACGAAATAATATACATGTACTGATTTTTTTCGAAAATCGACAACTATGAAACCATGAGCTCTTCCCGGACACAAACGGTACATTGTGAGACAGGAAATTGTAGAGAGAAACAAGCCCTATGACATAGGATACAACATTTTAATGAACAGTGCTTTCCATAAAATCAATAAAATGAAAAATGTACGAAATAATATACATGTACTGGTTTCTTTCGAAAATCGACAACTATGAAACTATGAACGCTTCCCGGACACAAACGGTACATTGTGAGACAGGAAGTTATAGAGAGAAACAAGCCCTATAACATAGGATACAATATTTTAATGAACAGTGCTCTCCATAAAATCAATAAAATGAAAAATATACGAAATAATATACATGTACTGATTTCTTTCGAAAATCGACAACTATGAAACTATGAACGCTTCCCGGACACAAACGGTACATTGTGAGACAGGAAATTGTAAAGAGAAACAAGCCCTATAACACAGGATACAACATTTTAATGAACAGTGCTTTCCATAAAATCGACAAAATGAAAAATATACGAAATAATATACATGTACTGATTTTTTTCGAAAATCGACAACTATGAAACTATGAACGCTTCCCGGACACAAACGGTACATTGTGAGACAGGAAATTGTAGAGAGAAACAAGCCCTATAACATAGGATACAACATTTTAATGAACAGTGTAACTTAAAATATGTAAAAAAACAAATTAAAATATACGTGTTTAAGCGTCTTTTCGGAAACTTGACCGTTTTTAAATAAAAAATATTGTAATATTTGAGGGGTGGTTTCACCCCCTTGGAACGGGAATTTCGAAAAATCCCTTCTTATCGAACCTCTACACCCTAAAATCAACCTGTATGCCAAAATTGAGCTTCTTACATTGAGTGGTTTGAGCAGAATCGTGAATAATCAGTGAGTCAGTCACTTAAGGATTTTATTGTATATTAGTATAGATTACATTATAATATAAGGATCCTATAAGCGTACAACTATTTCACTACATTTTCGTAAGATTTCCCAATATCTCCAATAGTTTATCTGTCACGGTAAATTTCAATCATGTAGGAGGATCTCCGTTGATATTTATGACATTACACGGCCATAGAAAACTACTTTTTTAAAAACGATATCTTACGCCAAGTCGATTGACATTATCTCCTAGGATCGCATCGGCGGTTTCTATGCCACAGTCGGGAGAAAATACACAATTAGATGTAAAAATTGCTTCGGATCATGATCATTAGATGCATCTAGCGAGGCACCAGCAATGCAATCATCGCGTTATGTAATGAATTGTATTGTAAATAATGGATGCGCAACATAAAAAAATGTAAAGTACAGTGGAGTGTTAGGTTTTATTACTATGTTTAGTGAAAATAATTAGGGTTGTTATAAAAAAAGGAAATCCAGTTGTATAACAAATTTTTGGTTTAAATTTTATATGTCCTATATTACATATTTGAATTTAATAATGGAGTATTAAAAATTATTTTATCTTATCAGTGTGTATACAAAGGTATAGTCTATAAAATGAATAACTTTGAATTTTGACCGTTATTTTTTACCAACAGGGCAAATATAAAATCCCTCTATCAAAAAAGTTACTGATATTCTTTAAATTGAGTGCCTGAATGAATCAGATAGGTAACTCTTTTTACTTTCGTGAAATAGAAAAGGAAAATAATAAAACAAGTGACAGTTCTTCCTCTTTTTGCAAAAATCAACACGAAATGTCATAATTGGCAAAAGTAAAATGTCATCAGCTTTTGACATTTCAAAATATTAGACCAATGCCGTCTCTAATAGAACAGCCTCGGAGCAAGATTTATGATGTCACGCTAGTTAGATACTACGGATTAATAAATATGTTGGAGAATACATGGAAACATAATTATTTCTCGTATTTTTGGTTTGTATTTTTAAAATGATATAGTTTACTTAAAATATACATAATATACAGTTAATAAATACAATATAATATATACATATTTATAGTAATACATACTTTGGCAAATAAAACTATGAACCACACAAATGCAGCAAATGTTTTACAATATACAAATAATGAATAGGTGGTACATAAGATAATGGGTAAAATGCAAAATATATTTTAAATTTTGGGGTTCGAAAATCGATCTAATTTAACAAAAAACATTCAATATCTACTAATAGTGATGTACAATTTATTTATATATTATAATGTTTACTGCAATTAATAAACTAATATAAACTTGTCAAAAGAGGACCACATATTTTTTTAAATTATTATTCTTAACACAAAAACTATGTACATTGACTATAGAGTACGATTTCAGCCATATTGTAAAACATTTGCTGCATTTGTATGTTTCATAGTTTTATCTTCTAAAGTATTTATTACTATAAATAGGTATATATATTGTATTTATTAACTGTATATTATGTATATTTCATGTAAACTATATCATTTTTAAAATACAAACCAAAAATACGAGAAATAATTATGTTTTCCATGTATTCTACAGCATATTTATTAATCTGTAGTATCTAACTAGCGTGACGTCATAAATCTCGCTCCGAGGCTGTTCTATTAGAGACGGCATTGCGTCAGCATGGCCGCAAGTTGCTAACCTAATAAAATTAACACTATAAAAGCCCGCGGGAACTGTCAAATTCAAAGTTATTCGTTTTACAGACTATATATTCTGTTCAACGACATAATTCTTGACAGTGATAGATCTATCTGTCATTTTAATTTCAAACTAGTTTATTTTATTTTAAAAAGAAACAATTTGGTACAACTGGAACGCCATAGCATTAATATTTAAAATTAAGCTTCATTCAGAATCTCGCAATTAGTGGAATTAATTAGTGGTTTCAATTACACTTTATAGTTTTTAGTTTACGATCATTCACGATGTTTAAAAAACACAATTAAAACTAATAGAATACCCTAGCAACAGCTTGCGTTAGTCAGTTGTATCCATAGAGAAAACCTAATATTTAGCTTATAAAACAATCAACTTTTAATTTCTAACCACCATTTGTCTTGATGGAAGATTATCAAAGGCCAAAATGACATTTCTCGCAAATTTTGAAGTATAATTAATGAAAAAGTTAAAAGTTTGATAAGTTTTTCTACTAATTGAAAATGTCCACCGCTAATTTTGACGTTCTGAATGCTTACATTCAAATTAAAGGAACGAACTTCTACGCTAATTGAAACCACTAATTTATTCCACTAATTGCGAGGTTCTAAAGTTGTAATTTGCCAAAATGACAGTTGTCACATAATGTTACGCGCATAGATAAAAGAAAATAATCTACTATTAAGATAGATATGAAACTTAATAGTAAAATTTTGGGTCAAAGCGCTTTTCCGTGTTTTTAGTGGAGACTACTTTAACCCAGCGCCTTCGCCTTTTCTGCTGTAAATGTTTTTTATGTTTATATTTGAATTCAAAGGATTTATTTTTAAAGTTACACTGATATATTAGTATATCAGAGTAACTTTAATAAAACATAAGAATATATATATATATATATATATATATATATATATATATATATATATATATATATATATATATATATATATATATATATATATATATATATATATATATATATATATATATATATATATATATATATATTTTACAATTTATTTTTTTATTTATTTTACAGAGTTTCATGTAAATGATCGTAAGTCGACTGGCTGTCTAATGAATAGACCGAGATTTATAGATTTTAAAGCGAACGAAAAAAAATCAAACAACGAATACATACCATATATTTTTCTTTTATCTAAGATACATACATTATCGTCTTTTGGAAACACGTACATTTATGCAGTTTTGTTAGTTTCTTTGCTGATGGATGCAACACAACAAGAAAACACCATTTTTACAGTTAATAAATAATAAAACTATTTCTGACTATGATATTTAAAATTTAGATAGATAGAAAATTAAAAAACAAACCAGTATTTGCAAACGCAGGCCCAAATTCAATAAAAATCAAAATTTTTCCTGCGAAAATCTGACTTTTTTCACTGAAAAGTTATTTTTTGATTTATCAGCAGTCATTGTCAAGTTGACAATATACAGAGTGTTTTCGAATTAGTCTAAAAAAATTATAGTGTGACTCCTCATGTGTTCTTAAAACAATTTTTATATAACCATTGAGTCTAAAGTACTTCCTTTCTGATCTACAGGGTGTTAAAAATTAAAAAAATCGTTTTTTTTTGTTTAACATAAATGGTACACCACTGCTTTTTTAAAGAAAATATATTTTTTTCTTGACTGGCCATCCTTTTTCAACAAAATTGATCTTTTGAGTTTTTCTTGTTCATCAAACGGTTGTCGAGAAAAAAATAAATATACTTATTAAGAGCCCGCCTTAATTCGTTTTCTAACGATTTTATATTTTTTAGATTAATTGGGAAACACCCTGTATATGCATATCCCAGGCAACCAAATAAACTAGTAACCTCTAAAAATTATTTTTCCTGCCACTAGCGACATACCGTGTTTTTAGTGTGTACTAAATTATTTTATCAAAATTTCACCATATAAGTTTCCAGGCAATGGTTATGCGGCATGCTTTTTGTTATTGGATATGCTGAAATAAAAACAGTTTGCAACAAAATTACCAACACTGGTTCTGGTTCACTCTGTATCTAAAATTAAAGGCCCCAGCAACTTCTAATTTTTTATCTTCTTCTTGTTAGTTTATATTTATATATAAAAAATTAGGCCACCCAAACCAAACTTCATTTATTTTAATGCTTACATTTGCAAACTTAACAAAATTGTTAGATCAAATAATACCATCGACTATTTGTAATAACACGTTTGTTTTATTTTGCTTTTGGATTACTTGTACTAATAACAATTAGACCTCGATTTGTTTAAATGGTATGATTGATGTTACCGTCACGAAATAACTGGTTTTTATTCCATTTCAGACTAAGATTCCTGTCCAAGATGAGCAAATACCTTATTTTATTTGTGATATGCACGTTCCTAATATCTCAATCACGAACAGAAGTGTTCACCGCCATAGTTGACATGGAGGGTCTTCTTGACACTGAAGCAGCACTCATTTATACGTTAGAGAACTATGTTAAAGCGGAGGAACAAAAGATCGACTTGCTCAAGAGGTAATATTTTACTTTGATTAAAAAAATAATAGTTCTGCAGGATGTCCCCGGATTGTCTTTATAAGAGGAAAATCTTTTTTATTATTGACATTTTGAGAAAAAAGCATTGTTTATATAATATAATATAATATATTTTCGTTTTCATTCTTTGATTGTTATTGATTGAATTTTAATTAACGTCATATTTTTTGCTATTTTAAAATGTTAAAGAAGTACAAAATATATTATTATTATATACGGAAAGGGTGGTTAATATTGAAGGATTCTTTTATGAATACTATATTCTTCTTAACATTTCTGAAGAATCCATTACATTAGATTGTATTAGGACCAAGGAAAGAACTTTCACCATACTACATTACTTTTTAATTACATAGGTACAGATCTTCGCCCATATGAAAGTGATTTTTTACATTTATCATGATCATGACTTTATCACATTTCTTACAAACAGTGAATGTTACTTTAGTTGTTAAGACGTGATATAAATCTGATTCATAAATACCTATAACAATCGAAAAATGGTGTCACAGTAACCATTAGCACGACAACCGATGATAATTTCCGCCAGGATAACTCCTATATACGTAATTCACTAAAAATTCACTGACAAATCCAATAAATAAAATTTTTTCCTTGAGTCTAGATTTATTTCTGAATACTTTTTTTACCTTTTTCTGTGTAAAATAATAATTTTAGACAAATACCTAAGTTACTTTTCTATAAAGGATATATAGGGTTCGACCGGACAGAAATTATCATCGATGGTCATTACGAAAGCTACCGTGACGCCATTTTTCTTTCGAATATGCAGTATTGTTTAAATTAAATGTAAGTTTAAAATGCATGGTGATTCCGTTGATAGGATTTAATCTTAATTACACCTACTTCATTTTAACGTTACTGCCTCATTTAAGAAGTACCGTACGATCGAAAAAAAAACGGCGTTAAAGACGGCTAAGGAATGAAAATCGGTGATAATTTTGGCTAGGTCAATCTGTAGACGTAATTTATTAAAAATTGACGTAAAACTTGTCATAATTAAAATTTCTAGATACACAAATCTCTTTCCAAAAAAATATGTTTTCTCAAATTTTAAACTACACCAAGTACTGGTCAAATAATGACGTCTAGAGGTTGACCTCGCCAAAATTATCATCGATTTTCATTCCCCAGCCGTCCGTGACGCTCGTATGGTATTATTACGAATGATTACAATAAAAGTTATTATTTTTACAGGTACATTGCTATTTACAATAAGCAACACAACAGAGCCTCAGAAGATCCCCAACTTTATCTAGCAAATCCTATTAACGCCTACACTTTGGTAAAGAGACTCACCACTGACTGGAGTCATGTAGAGACCTTAATAGGCACAAACATCAATACAGGTAAACAAAAATATATAGAAAAACACCAAGATTAGGTTAAATAATACGTTATTTCAGATGCTTTGCAAAATATTTCCTATTTCAAGGAACACATGAAGTTCCCAACTGACGAAGACTTAAATGGAGCAGCTGTAGCTCTAACTCGGCTTCAGGATACGTACCATTTGGACACTTCTTCTTTAGCTAGAGGTATGCGATCTTAAAAATGTCATATATATGTCAATATTATTAAAGTTGTTAAATCAAATATAGAATCTTGATAAACCCCCCAATGTGGTTCGTACTAAATAATACCACCAGATAAAAATCTTATCCCTAATTCGTGGTACGAAAATTGTTTTTTATGACGATGTGCAAACGAGTAAAATTTCCTGTGCGCAAAAATAAACTCGCGTAAAATAACAATAAACAGCGTAATAGAGAGATATCGCTAAACCGAATAGCGTGCATGGACGTTAATATAAGGGTGTTATTTCCTTTACGTGAGGTGGTATTAACTCTCTTCATTTATAGTTATCGGATCGGAAAGAATTCTGTTCTCGTCGCGTCCGCTATTTAAACTTAACCTAACTTTGAATTTAAAATTTTGAAATTGTTTTGTTTACTATATAGGTATTTTAAAACTAAAGGGCTAAAGTGCTTATTGCCAGTGCTTCATTGTTCAACGTCTGACAGTGGGTTTAGGGCAACAAGCAACAAATTCTCTTAGAAGGGCTAAGTCGTCATCTGCTGTAAACCTAAACCTCTTTATAGGTTCTTTAATAATGGAAGAGGTGGAATCCATAATTTGGGCCATATTTATTTAATTAAAACTTATCCCAGCTACTTAAATATCAAATTACCTAATAAAACTAAAGTAATAATTCAAAACAATTCAAACATAACCTAAAATAAAAGATCTCGCCGCTCGCCGGCCGGCCCCGGTTGTCAAATGTACCCGCACATGCCCATTTAAGCAATTTTTGAACGTTATTTAGAAATGGCGCTTGATGTAATTGATTCGCATATTACGTCAGGCGGTAACGTTATTAGCGAGTGTTGCGTTAAAAATTGACTCGCGCATATCGTAACCATGATAAGGTACGCGTAAATACTGCATGACGCTATTCGGTTTTCCGATATATCTCTAATAACTGTGCCGGTCAGGCGCTGTGCACAATTTTAGAGGCCATAAGTGGGCGTGCTATGTGCGCAAACTGCTATCCTAACTAGTGCCCGATTCCGAAAATTGGAACCACGAAAAACTATAAAGAAAAAACAAAGTTTATAATCTGGTGATAATACTAATCCTGAAATGAAACAAGTTTAGAGTGTTTAGTTTGTTGTCTGTCGAAGTCGTATCTGCTCTTGTCTGCTCTTGCTATTCAAAGAGATTCAAAGTAAGATAAGATGATAATATATAAATAATATGAGATTCCTTTTTGATAAAAGAAGTAAGATTACTCCTGTAGTTCATAGATTTTTGATTAAAAATACGTTAAAAAGAGCTAAGGAGGGGAAATCTAGTGAAGAGATTTTTAGTTATTCTTAGGTATTTACTTCTTATAGAATATGAGATGTTGATTATATAGTTTAATTTTTCAGGTGAACTAAATGGTGTGAAATATAGTTCTGAGCTGACTGCAGCCGACTGTTTTGAACTGGGCCGTCAGTCCTATAATAATGGAGATTACTACCACACTCAGCTATGGATGGAGGAAGCCGAAGCGAGATCTAAAAGAGAAATAAATGAAACAATTGACCACAGCGACATTCTGGAATACCTGGCTTTTTCAACTTATAAACAAGGTAGGTTATACTATAGCTAAAAAATTTCTGCAATTCTGTTGTATCTAAAGTCTAATCAAAGGTCTAATCAATGAGGAGACATATGTCATTGGCAGAACAGTTGTTTTTTGTCATTTAATTTAAGTTAAAATGAATGTTTTCTGTCAAAATATTTCCCGAATATCGTTAGACAGAGCATATCAGTACAGATTTTTTACATTTTAGTTTAGTGATAAGCGATACTGTGATTTTTATATCCTGATACCGTGATTTTCTAATATCAGTGATTTAAAACCGTGATATGATCACGACTTTTAGTTTGTCCCATGACTACCATAGGCTGCTTATTTTAAAACCTTTAAAATTCACCTTCAAGAACCTAACCTTTTAATATAGGTGGTTACATTCTCGAAGGTCTGATAGTCTGGCATAGTTTTGCCAAACAACTCAAACCTAGTTCTGCTCCCGGCGGGGAAGGTACACAAAATAACAGATTTTTTATTTTATTTTAGGTAATGTTGCTCTGGCATTGGACTTGACAAATAAATTATTGGATATACTTCCCACTCACCAGAGGGCGCTCGGAAACAAAATCTATTACGAGGGAGAGTTGAAAGAACTGGAACAGAATAACATAGGCAGGAAAAAAGGAGATGACGGTTCCGAAGACAGCACATCTATCGGGGTAAAATTTGGAAAAGTAATTTTCCTCTTTTATATACAAACCAAAATCAAGCCTAGTTTAATTTTTTTCATGCACCGAGTGAATAACTCTCGTCTGTATCTCAGACAGTATTAACTGTAGAGTTTGCGGAATATTTAAAACTAAAGAGGCAATAAGAAATTGCTGGAAATTATTTTGAAGTTCGTAAAATGCCATGGCAAAATAAGAAAATTGAATTTTTACAAAATTTTTTCTTAGAGTTACTATAAATAATTGCGTCATACTCTTCTCTAAATTTCGGATTTTTTTTTGTTAAACTATTTTGCCCTATCTGCTAAAACAAAGTAATGGGGGAAGGTTAGGTATGTTTTTATTCAAGACTGACTGGGTATAGGTAATCGGAATTTAACAAACTAGGGCTAGTTTAAAAGATCCTTTCTTGTTACTTGTTGTGTTTGTTTTGCGAAAAATGTGGCAAGTTAATTTTTAAAACTATATATTATATATTTTTTTTAGTCTCCTTATGATGACCCATTCAGCAAAGAACTCTACGAAGCGCTTTGTAGAGGGGAGGTCACGATGTCGTTACATGATCGATCAAAGTTAAAATGTCGATACTTCTTTGGTAACAACAATCCCTTCCTTAAAATAGCCCCCTTCAAAGTCGAAGAAGCCTATTTGGATCCAGATCTATATATTTTCTATGACGTTATGTCTGATGATGAGATCGAAACTGTAAAGAAACTAGCCCAGCCTAGGGTAAGTTTTAAAATAAATGTTACTAAGTTAAAACTCGTGAAATTACTACTAAAGACAATATTATATACAGTTGATACCAATTAAACTTTTAGTTACGTAATCACGGGCGCGATTTTTATATTCATTGTTGCCAACCAACTGGAATTTAAATTTCCCTCTGGGAATTCAGGTGGTAACTCTGCTGTAAAAAATGTCAAGTTGCCACATCTATTAAATTGTTATTTCCTGACAATTTCATTCGTTTTGATACTTTAGTTTTGTATTACGAGTTTTTGGTTTAAATAAATATTGTTGTGATACTTTAAGCTTAAAAATGTTTACTAGCAGACCTTGCAGTCAAACATTGTTCTTTTTGCAACCTCTTTCAGTGCGAAGTGTACAAGATAGCTTAATAGCCGTTTCAAAAAACTCATTGCAACTTTATTAAAATATTTTGAACGGGAAAGCGGTAGTAATGGCCCTTTATGTCCCTTAAGTGCTGTTAAGGAGATAAATTTTGTTGATGTAAATAATAACAACTGTTTATATATTTATAATTAATTTATTTTTGTTTCCTAAAATATTTTGAATAAAAGAAAATATGTAAAAGTGGGCAACGCTGTGCCGGTGACTAAAAGTTTATTTGATGTGAACTATATAAATATATTCTATTTACTTTTTGTCGATACATTATTTACTCTCATTTCTTGTAAAGCTATAAAGTTTGTCAAATAAAAATGAGTATTTAATTGATTTCTAGTTCAGAAGGGCAACAGTACAAAACTCTCAAACTGGAGAACTCGAAGTGGCTCAGTACAGAATCAGCAAATCCGCTTGGTTGAAGGAAGATGAAGATGAACGGGTAGCTGTCATTAGTCAAAGGGTTAGTGATATGACGGGTCTGACAATGACAACTGCCGAGGAACTTCAAGTGGTGAACTATGGCATTGGTGGACATTACGAACCTCATTTTGATTTTGCCAGGGTAAGTAGAATGGGTAGTAAGTAGTAACATAGAAGTACAATTTTTGTTTGTACTGGGTGGTTCTTAAAAAAAAATGAAAATAACAGAAATATATTTTTTATTTTCCATTTTTAAAATACCCCAGAAATATCCGAGTTATTCATGTAAAACAAAGTATTAGTGAGAATAATATTATATTGATTAGAATATTTAGGAACTACTAGTCTATTATATTTATCTTTTAATCGTTTTTTTTTCAGAAAGAAGAAACGAATGCCTTTAAAAATCTTGGAACAGGAAACAGAATAGCAACTGTGTTATTTTACGTAAGTATAAATTTTGATAAACATTTAAACTTATCTTTAAAACATCTGGTTATTTCTCCACTCTCTAATTTGCTAGATGAGTGACGTACCGCAAGGCGGAGCCACTGTCTTCCCCATGTTGAGGACTTCTCTTTGGCCCAAAAAGGGTACTGCTGCCTTCTGGTTTAACTTGTTCCCTAGTGGAGACGGTGACAAAAGAACCAGGCACGCTGCCTGTCCTGTTTTGGCTGGTTCAAAGTGGGGTACGTCTAATAATAGTTTTTTATTATATGTATAAGCATATTATTCCAGCAAGAATATTTAGAATGTTTTCATTTTCTTAAGTGAATAGAATGCAGCCAAAACAACGTTTTATCCACAAACACATGAATATATAGATCATACCAAATAAACTTTTAGTCACGTGATTAAGCCGACAGCGTTGCCGACTTTTACATATTTTCTTTTAATCAAAATATTTTAGGAAACAACGCTTCGAATATGTCCATGGTTAGCAACAATTAATTTAAAAATCGCGCCCTCGATGACGTAACTAAAAGTTTATTTGATATGAACCATAGTTTAAATTAAATTATTACATTTAAATTTATTTTCCTACAGTTTCAAACAAATGGATACACGAAAGGGGTCAAGAATTTCTCAGACCTTGTACCAAAGATCCACCACCTGAGGATTTGATAGCCTAAAATAATTATGATGGACTGAACACTCAAATTCGTTTTAATTGATAGTTCTATTAGAATGTATAAAAATTCTAGCTTTTTGTTTTTGTCTACAATTTATATATGAAAGGATTGTAAAGATGGTAAAAAAATATTGATAAAACAGCATTTTTTATACTGTTTCCTGACAATTTGTACCAAATTTAATTTTTCGTTTGTGATTTAATAAGATCTGCTTATTTTCTAGGGATTTTAGCTTTAACCACAGATTTTGTACATATTTTATATAAATTATTTAATAAATATATTATTCATATTGGAGTATTTTATTCTCTTCAACTAAAATTTTTAAATTCATATTATAGTACATAGTTTTAAACAGCTTTAAACAAATTTTTAAAATAGGTAATGTTTAAAACACTTATTTTTAAACAAAATTTATAAACTTGAGTGTTTAAGCTTGAAACTACCAAAATTTACATAATCAGCGTATAACCATTACAATCTAGAAAAATAGGCCTTACCTTTTACGTATGACGTCATCGCAAGCAGGCGGTGATTTAAATTTATGTAAAAAGCTGGGTTAGATGACAAAATATCGGAAAGTGTCAAAGAGAAAAATTGATCAGAATTCGATTTCACATCTATGTACCTGTATTTACACTCAATAAGTGGAAGTGCTATAAATAATAATCTAATTTTAAACATTTAAATTCTTTATTGAAATAAATTACTTGAATCTGGCTACATCAAATGGATATTGTATTATTCCGATAAAGAGAGGCGATACTGAGTATATTTTTTTCATATTTTTAAGCGAAAGATACATCAAACGCCGACAGAGTGTTAGTGTACGTCCATAGTGCACCGGTTTCCCGCTTTCCGGTGGGCTTATCGCTTTGTTCCGCATGGAGAAAAAAAAACGTTGAAGTATATTTCCAACAAAATTCGAAACCGTTAGTTAGATACGGAAGGTATAGTGAGAATCAACCTTAAGTCGGTTAAAGCTGGCAGACTATAGATGATATTCTAAGGAGAACACTTTCCAGGAATCATCGTAGAATATGGCGGACTCCCTTTAGCAAGTTAGAAGATCTCAGTTACGCAGATGGCATCTGTCTCCTTTCTCATGGTCACGCGGATATGTCATCAAAACTACTTGACTTGGTAAAGGAAGCTCGAATTGCAGGTCTTAACATCAACATTAAAAAAACTAAATCGATGAGAGCTTGTACCAACAACGTCGCTCCCTTTATCATTGGAACAACACCTACAGAGGAAGTAAATAATTTTACTTACTTAGGCACTATAATCTCAACCAACGGAGGCACAGAGCAAGATATCATAAATAGAATAAACAAGGCCAGAATAACATTTGGAACGCTCAACAATATTTGGAGATCTAGGCAGTACTCTCAACTTACTAAGCTTAGGATTTTCAATTCGAATGTCAAGTCAGTATTGCTGTAGAGACCTGAAAAATTACATCGCCATTAATAATTAACAAGCTCCAGGTTTTAATAAACCTGGAAAAATTGTGGGAGTATTCTGGTCAAATACTATCAGAAACGAGGATTTGTGGAGCTTGACCAACCAGAGGCAGGTGTATAACGAGATCAAACTTAGAAAATGGAGGTGGATTGGTCACACTTTAAGGCGAATCGGCAACAACATCGCTGGCAGAGCTATTGAGTGGAATCCACAAGGCAGTAGAAGAACCGGTCGTCCAAGACACACATGACAAAGGACAATTAAAAAGGAGATCGAAGCAGTAAACCGATCATGGCGAGATATTAAATCAATTGCCAACAACCGAACCCGCTGGAGAGCGTTTTTTGAAGCCCTATGCTCCACGTAGGAGTAAAGAACAACAACAGAAAGCTGGCTGACTGGCGTACTATGGCCACGCGCATACAGTTGTTGCTCTATTTTTCACCGCTAGTTTGCCGCGATAAAGCGGGAAGCCGGTGCAGTATGGACGTACCCTTATGTAAACAAAATTTTGAGAAAAATAAATATAGTGTTTACGAGAATATTGGACACATATTTTTTTTTTCACGTGTCTCTAATATTCTCCTCCACACTGGATATATGTTTTATATCTATAGTTTATATTTGGTGAGATTTTTCTTCTGGCTTGTTCTTGCGCGTCTTCAGGAACAAATTCGCCCCACCTTCGGAAGCTCTCCTGTAGGAACCCGGAGATCCCCCAACTGTGAGACTGGAAGGTCCAGAGCCTCCCGAGTGGACATCGGACTTCTTGGTTTTGGATGGTGACCATAGCGCGGCCTGCGATACAAAGTATATTGCGTAATTCAGTTAAATAATATATAGATATAGTTGTGGCCTCGAAAAATAAGTTACTAAGTTACTTTTAAATCAAATTTAACTGGTATTACTCATGTTGAGCGTGACTGGTCTTGATCTTGCGATCTTGGTCTGGACTAGCGTTAGATCTGAAAGACCAAGACCGACCATTTTATTGCATAAAAGTTTAAACAAAGTTATGCCGATTCGATATAATATATTTTTAAAATATTTTTTTTTGTTAGGAATGTAGTGTTTGTTTCTTTAAAGTTCCATTTTCATCAAATTAATTAAAATACTATTTATTTACAGATTTTCTGCGCAGAAAGTGCCTCTAGTAAAAATATACCGGGTGCGTCTCAAAAGCGATTCACCCTTATAAATTTTTATTTTTTCAGATAAAAAAACGAGGTTTGGTATGTTTGTATATGGCATAAATTAAAATTGATTGACGTATTTAATTTCGGTCACTTCCTGTTTCACCGGAAATGACTACAAAACTTTTAAATGGCACCCTCTGTATTTTTTACTTTATTTGATAGAAAATGACACTCTGAACTGAATGACATATCAAGAAGCCTTGGAAAAATAGATTTGATCGTCTAATGTTTTTAGTGTCTTGTCCTGGCCGATCATATCTCAATTTTTTCAAATGAAACGAGGGTGGCTCATTAGCATATTTGGAAAACCATTTTTTTACCAATAATTTGGTACCACACACTTGGTATTTCAGGTTAAGTTATTGTTATGAACCGCATGTTACAATTTCAAATAAACCATATGCGAAAATGTCAAAAGTTGACATATGTCATGCCACATGATATGTCATTCTATTCAGAGTGTCATTTTCTATCGAATAGAGAAAAAAAATACAGAGAGTGACATTTCAAAATAAAAAGTTGTAGTCATTTCCGGTGAAACAGGAAGTCATTGAAAACAATTGAATACGTCATTGAATCCTAATTTATGGACTGACATTCCAAATCTCGTTTTTTTATCTGAAAAAAAGTTATAGGGGTGTGAAAAGTTATAGGGGTGTGCATTTTCGGGACGCACCCGTATAAAAAAAATGTAAGGCTTGCAAGAATCTTGCACATTTTTAATAGTGCATACTGAAAACCAAGACTGGACCCTGCAAGACCAAGACCAACACTACTTTATTAGACTGCAAGACCAAGAGTGTCTTGCTTAACAACTTAATACAGCTTACTCTTGACTCTTTGTTAGGTACAGCTTACTATACTGAATGCATTGACTGAACTCTTCGTACACATGAAAATTGGCACTTAAAAATAATCTTTAATAACTTATTCTCAATAACCACAAATTTAAACTCTAAAGTAATCAGGATTTCTATGATAATATATTTGTATTTGTACTTTTGTGAAACAGACATGCATTTGCTGGAAATAACATGCAAAAGCGGGTTAGGTAATTACCTATAAAAAAGGTAATGAAGATTTTATATTAAGAGAATACAGTTTTTAAATTACCAAGATAACGTTTTATAAAATTTGAATAACGAAAATAATACAAATTATGATTTATTTGATACCTAATTAGAATAAAGGTATTATCATATTTTCATAACTGCTAATAGACTATTGAAAAAATTATAAACTAAAAGTATACTCACGTTTTTAATATTTCTAAAACTGAAATAGTTAAAATAATGTTGAAAATACAAAAAACATGCAATTTTCTAAAAAAAAATCAATAAAAGTAAAAAATATGAATTGAAAAACTTACCTATTATAAATTAGAAATAATTTTCATTTAAAAAACAAAATAACGGACAAATTCTGATTTTCTTTTTATCTTTATTTGGATAGAGACATTTATAAATAAGTTTTGCTTTTTAAGGGTTCAACATCGATAAAATATATGTATAGATTATTTCTTATATACTTATTATATTTCTTTGCTTAAACTATATAAAAACATTCCAAAAATCGATAGGTATATGCTTCTTTATGAGGGTCAGTGTGGGATATGAAACATTGTGCAGACACACCTTGCATAACAAGATGCACGATTACATTTAAAAAGTCATTTTGACTGAGGTACACTTATTTTAAAAAACAAATAGAAAAAAAATAGTTTGATATTTCCTGTATTTTATATATATTTTTTTATAAATGTATGTACGCCAATGGGTAGGTTAGGTTAGGTATACTTCAATTTCAATATTCCATAAAAGCATATAGGAAATATCAAACCAATTTTTCAATCTTATTTTAGTATTGTTATAAATTGAATCGCTTATGTTTTTGAACAAACCACAAAATCAATAACCATATTAACAACGTACATCGTTAATTGTCTTTTATCTATAAGCGATCCAACTGTTTTTTTATACAGGGTGATACAGTGTTCAGGGGTAAATTCATGTTACGTTTTTTTTAGCTTGAATAACTCGATTATACAGGGTGAGTCATAAATAAGCGCAAATATTTTCAGGACTGGTATGTCTCGATAAAAAAACATATTTTCTCTTTACCATTTTCAAATAAGTCCAAAATAATCGAGTTATTTAAGTTTGAAAATTTAAAAAAATAATTGATTTGTTTTGACAGTTCTAAAAAGCTTTCGAATAATATACAGGGAAATTTTAAAGAAAATGCACGATTTTCAACACCTTTTTTTGCGAAAAAAACTCATAGACGTGTTCCTGGGATCGAAATATATTCCATACCCATGCAGATTTTTCAAATCGCTGTATCACCCAGTATATCTCAGAATAATAACTCAATTTTAAATGCACCGATTTTTATTATACAAACACCATGCAGGTCAATATTAAGTGTATCAATTTATAGAAATATATATTTAAGTCTTTAGGTATATAAATACTTTAATAAAATTATACAGGGTGAGTCTTAAATAAGTGCAAATATTTTTAGGGGCTCAGAAACACGATTATGAAGTTTTTGTCGCGAAAAAAGTTTTGAAAATTTGTAGTTTTTTGATAATATGGCAACATAGGTAATAGATTAAATTTACAGGAAAGAAAACCCAGAAAAGGTCCACCGGATCTCAAAATTTAAGCAAAAAATTATTTTTTTTTGGAAATTTTCGAAGTAAAATAACTCGGTTATTTCGGTTATTTGAGAAACATTAAAGAGAATTTCTGTTTCTTTTATCGATATCTACCAGCCCTAAAAATAATTGCACTCATTTTAGACTCACCCTGTATAATGAATAATTATATTTATTTCAGAAATACTTTGAAGTCGAAAAATACATATTTTTAGATAAATATGAAAATTTTTGGATCAATAAAATTTGAAAAGGTCTGTATTAAAATATTGGAATATGGGTTTTGATTAAAATACTCGTAGAACAACAACATTTACGTCATTTAAATACTGATTAGTATACTATTATTGGATTCACAGTACTCGAACGGATGAGAATAAACAATAATAATTAATATGCTCTATGTAATTACTACATGCAATTTCCATCAGTTCCTGAAAAAGACATATTGTTATAATAATGAAATATCAGACATATCTGTAGAACGAAATCAATATACGTTATATTGATTTGTATACTCGATAAGTATTATTGTTTATTTCGTCGGAGAATTTTGTACGTATAAACAAAAATGCAGAAACATCACATATACAGGGCGCTTAAAGTTTTTTGTCGACATTATTGATATACCGGGTATTCCGGTAACTGTATTCCGGAAACTTTGGCAGCATATTCTGCACATAAAAATAAGTAAAAAAGTTCGTATCAACTTATGTCCTAAAATGCTTCGTTTCGGAGATACAGGGTGTAGAAGTTTCATTTTTATTTCGATTTTTTCCAAATAATTTCAAGTAACGTAAATATTTGGATGAAAATTATTGTCTGGGAGTTTTTTGACATGAGAAATTTGATTTTGATGTCTTTTGATGTTTTTTTAACTGTTTTGAAGATTAATAACTTTTCATCATTACCTGTATAAAACTGCTGAGTAAGTAAATATACATTTCCGTGGTTTTTTACGTAAAAAATATCTCTTGGTAAAAATCGCTACGGACAACCGTTTTCAAGATATTTACAATGGAATTAGTCAATACATGTCATTATTGTCAAGAAATAAACATGCGTTGAGTAGATAGTTAACTGAAATGATAAACTTGGGAACTTTTTTAAGTTAATAATATTTTTTTCTTCGAAAAAGTGACGATAAAACAGTTTCTGTTGAACTTTCAACATAAAATCATTTCAAATTTATGATTTCAGTCTGATAAATATTTAGTCAACATGTTTATGTCAATGATGTTAATTTGATAATTTCGATTCCAAATATCTCAAAAACCATGGCTCGTAGCGATTTTTACCAAGAGATCTTTTTTACTTAAAAACCGTGGTAAATGTATATTTTTTTGCTCAGTAGTTTTAAACAGGTACGGACAAAAAGTTATTACTCTTCAAAGCAGTTAAAAAAAGAAAATATGTAGGTGGCGCCCTCTACAGAGTCATATTAGTGTCTACATCAAATTTCTCATGTCAAAAAACTCTCAGACACCAATTTTCATCCAAATATTGACGTTACCTCAGAAATTATCTGAAAAAATAGAAATAAAAATGAAACTTCTACATCCTGTATCTCCAAAACTAAGCATTTTAGGACATACATTTATACGAACTTTTTTACTTATATTTATCTGCAGAATATGCTGCCGAAGTTTCCGGAATACAGTTCGGACCACCCTGTATAGTCCAACAGTTAATTTTGATACTAATACTAGTTAAATCTAAACACAATAGTGTCGACCCTGTTTGTCATACATAAGAGAGGTAAACTGGAAAATAAGCATTCAACACTTAGGTGGAAAGGACGATATATTATTACATAATATAAAGATATATTTTGATTCTTTTTATATATGTTTTACCTGATTATTTGAAAAACACATTTAACCAGTAATTAGAAATTAGACCTATTTCAACAATATATAATTAATTTTTAATAAACCTATATTGATTCAAAAGATCGTATTTTCCAAATAACCATTATGTCCAAACGTAGATTTACTCCCAAACTCACTGGAAATATAAAAATGGTTTTCAGTCAATTTTCCAGAAGTGAAAAAACAGTAATTTGATATTTCTTGATACCCACCGTCTAAAATTTTGTAGATTTTAAATATTTTTACAAGTACTGTAACCAATATCATACAGGGTGGTCCGAACGGTAATCCGGAAACTTCGGCAGCATATTCTGCAGATAAAAATAAGTAAAAAAGTTCGTATTAATATATATGTGCTAAAATGCTTAGTTTCGAAAATATAGGGTGTAGAAGTTTCATTTTTATTTCGATTTCTTCCAAATAATTTATGAAGTAACGTCAATATTTGAATAAAAATGGGTGTCTGGGAGTTTTTTGACATGAGAAATTTAATTTTGATGTCGATATGACTCCTGCTTGTAGGGGGCACCACCTACATATTTTTAACTAGTTTGAAGAGTAATAACTTTTCATCCGTACCTGTATAAAACTACTGAGTGAAAAAATATACATTTCCGTGATTTTTACGTAAAAATCTAATGTCTCACAGTAAAAATCGTTCTCAAGATATTTAGAATGGAAATAGTCAATACGTGTCATTATTGACAAAAAATAAACACGTTGAGTAGATTGTAATTTGACTGAAATAATAAATTCGGGAAGTTAATTATTTGGAAAAAATCGAAATAAAAATAAATATCTACGCACCCTGTATCTCCGAAACTAAGCATTTTAGGACACACATTTATACGAAGTTTTTTATTTATTTTTATTTGCAGAATATGCTGCTGAAGTTTTCGGAATACAGTTCGGGCCACCCTGTATATTTCTCTATTTTTTATAATAAATAATTTTGATTACTTAAAAAATTCTAGTTTAAAATTTGCCCAAAATATACAGTATTACGAATAAAATTCGCCATTATCCAACATTAATAATTAAGAAATCTACGTTTGGAACTGTTTAATCAATCAAAAACAAACAAAACAATAAACGACAACAACAATATAAGGACGACATTTGTTTCAAAAATGGAGGGGGGTGGGGGGAGGTGGTCAATCGGGTTTACGGCCATTTAAATCTCGTAATTTCTGAATTTACTGACAACTTCGCTGTGGGCGTCCGCCGCGCCGGCACCCCACGGCGTGCCGCTCCTGCCGCCCCAGTGCAGGTTGGCGCCGCCCTCGGACGCCCTCCGCTGGGCGGCTGTGACGTTGGACGACCCGAGGCTCGAGGGACCAGAGTTGCCGCCCGATTCCAGCATGCGGTCTTTGGTTTTGGGCGTGGACCAGTGCATCGACTAGAAGAATTAAAAAAAATAATAAAAATGTAATATTTTATTAAATATAAATTATAGTACAGGGTGTGAAGGGGAATTTAGACTCTCTTTGCGCAAACTGGTTTGCGGAAGTCATTTTGTACAAAATTTGAGCAAATCTATCTTTCGTTTAGATCAAGTTCTAGAAAATAACTATGGAGACAATCAGGGGCGCAACTAGACACCGAGTTTTGGGGGGGGGGATGGGCTCAAGCCCTGAGACTTCTAAGATAATATTGGTTTGAAAATAATACCAATTTTAAAGAAACAGTAATTTTTTGTTCATAATATTTTTTCGTTTTTTACTTAATAATACAGGGTGGGTCAAATTGGATGCTTTTAAAGGGCAACACCCTTTTCTATAGAAGATAGATAAAACTAATGTCGGTCTCTGGGGCTCAATTTTTATCAAAAACATGATGGTGAAAACCGCACACCGATATCTGTTACCATTTCGGAGTTACAGGGTGTTTTTCAAAAATGCATTTTAAACAAATCGCTATAACTTTTTTGCTATGGAAAATTTTGTATTTTTATGAAAACATTTCCAAAGTACCTTTTTACATAGAATTTAATGATTTAAGTATATTTTTTAAATTAATAATTTAAAAATTATCCACCGAAAAAGCAATTTTTTATTTGGAACATCCTGTATATTTTTAATAACTGAAAAGAATTTAAAAATACCGTTCCAAAAATATAGCACACTTAATATTTTGTTCTAGTCCCCTTCAAAATACAGAATTTTTAAAAGTTCGCCTCTTTTAACTAGTATGTTTTGGACCCCTTATTGATGATTCTGTCCTTAATGGAACTCGAAAACATATTTTTTCAGCAAAACGAGGCATCGCCTCAGAACGCTGAAGTTATCAGAAAATGTTTGCAGCCAATTTCGAAAATAATTGAATAGCTAATCAAGATCCCAGCCGTTGGTCGTCGAGGCCGCCGGACTTAGCGCCTATATTTTCTGTTTGCGGAAGAATAAAGGTTCTTATTTTCAAATTGCCCGTATAATCTAGTCAAGAATTATAAGTACTTAGAGGTTATGCCAGGGTATCTTTCACCCCCACTGAGTTAATGAATTCCACTAGAAATGTTCATAAACGGTCACGTCTGTAGTTTAAATGTGTTGATGTTGTAATGTTGCTAAATATAGTTTAAATTGTTATAAAATTCTGCATCATTGTCTTTCAGTGCAAATATTATTTTCATTTTAATTGCTGCTCACAGCTAGAATTTTTTTGCATTAGTGTTCAAAAGTGGGTGATTTTTTAAAAACTATATATTTTATAAAATTATAATATATATTAAAATCTCGAAGAGAAATCGAACAAAATATCAAGTATGCTATATTTTTGGAAAGGTAATTTTAAGTTCTTTTCAATGAATTAAAAATATACAGGGTGTCCCATATAAAAAATCAAATTTTCTGTTGATAACTCGTAATTATTAATTTAAAAAAATTATTCTTAAACCATTAAATTCTACGTAAAAAGGTGCTTTGGAAATGTTTTCATAAAAATACAAAATATTTATTCAACAAAACAAAAAAGTTATGGCAATTTGTTAAAAATGCACATTTTTGAAAAACACCCCGTAACTCCGAAATGGTAACAGATATCGATGTGCGGTTTTTACCATCATTTTTTTAAAAAATTCAGCTCCAGACACCGATATTAGTTTTCGTCTATCTCCTGTAGAAAACCCACCTGTATTATTAAATGAAAACGGAAAAAATATTATAAACAAAAAAAACACTGTTTCTTTAAAATTGGTATTATCCTCAAACCAATATTACCTTAGAAGGTTAGAAGTCTGAGGGCTTGAGCCCCCCTAAAAAGCGTCCAACTTGGCCCACCCTGTAGAATCACTTAATCTAAGGACATTTTTTAGATTAGGAATTTCAAACTCCAAAACTTAAAACTGATATTCTACCAAAGGACATTAGTCTTTAGTACAATCACAGATTCCATAGTAATCTATGTAACATAGTTTACTATGTCATCTATGGTAGAATACACTAACAATCTTTGTACAATACACTATCTTAAACTAAGAATATTTTTGTATTTTTTTTTCAAACGTTACAATAGTATTAATTTTTGCGACGTGATATAAAAAAGAAAAAAAGCCTAGGCAAAAAGTAAAGCACTTTTATGCCTAGCAGAATAGTACGAAAATATATTATTATATTGACATAAAGTGTCAAATTCAACGAGTGTAACCATAGTTTCTCTATATATAATTACCTACGAGGTACTACTTTTAAATCTTTTTATATTATTTGGCAACATTTAAAATTGTTTAAAAAATTATTCCTGCCGTTAGAAAAAAAATTTCTTATTCTATTAATTTGAAATAAAAATGACTTTTTGTGCCTCGCCTGAAATGTCAAACGTACGCCTGGGAGGGCTAATTTTGAGTCTGAGGGGGGGGGGGCCTAGCCCCCCTAGCCCCTCCCAATTGCGCCTCTGGAGACAATAGAGAGAGTTATAGTTATTTTTTATACAAGACGATAAAATGGTATTTCATCGTCGACCGAAAAGATTAATTCACGAGCGATGAAATCGCGAGTGAATTAATTTCGGGAGACGATAATGCAATTTTATCGTCGTGTATATAACAATATTTTTTCTATAGCGAGTTACGTTTTAAAAAATATTCAGAAATTATTATTTCAAGGAATTTATTACGAGTAGAAAAAATATTGTGCTGGGTTGGCGTTGGTTTCTATGTAATTTAACAAATAAATAAAGCTGTCTCTTTAGTTGTCGGTTTTGAGTCAATATTTTTTAATTCTCTTTCGTGTCGATTGCTGATTGAATTGGAGCCAGAAATGGCTCAAAACGAAATAAGTAAATTACCAACAGATATTCAGGCTGAAGCGACAAATTGGTACATTGCACATTAATCTATCTTACTACTTTAATTAATGAGTCATTCCAAAAAGGAGTTTTTCCAAACTGCCTTAAGACAGCAATAATTATTCCTCTGCATAAAGGAGGAGATAAAGATCAAGCTTCGAACTATCGCCCAATTGCTCTCCTGCCCACATTATCTAAGATCATTGAAAGATTGGTTAAAAAAGGCTTCTATCTTTTCTCCTTAAATATAAAGTACTTTCTACCCATCAATTTGGATTTCTAAGTAACAGTTGCACAAATGATGCTATGTTCGACCTTTTTAATAATGTATACTCTAGCCTGAATAACCATCACTCTACAGCTACAATTTTCTGTGATTTCTCTAAGGCTTTTCGATAAATCATAATATCTTAATTAACAAATTGCAAAACTATGGATTCAGGGGAGTGCCGCTCGAATGGCTTAAGTCGTATCTTGGCAACAGAAGGCAGCTTGTGAGAATTGATACGTCTATGTCTTCTTGTAAGCCTATAGAATGTGGTGTCCCTCAGGGTTCAGTACTTGGCCCTATTTTATTTCTGGTGTTTATCAACGACATCGCAAATCTAGACATTAGCGGTAAAATCTGCCTCTTTGCGGACGATACTAGTTTCACTTGGAGCGGCCCAGATGTTACGGCACTATATGATACTATATCCAGTGACTTACGCACCATTAAATCTTGGTGCGATTCTAATCTCCTATGCCTCAACCTTTCAAAAACTAAAGTTTTGTCATATAAAAGTACTATACAACCTTTTGTACTTAATAACACCACTATTGACGTCGTGAACTCTGTGAGATTCTTAGGACTTATTGTGGACAACTCTTTAAAATGGGACTTGCACATCGAAGCCTTATCAAAGAAACTAAGCTCTGCCTGTTTTGCGCTAAGATCAGTGTCTAAGGAACTTAACTCATCCACCTCTAGAATGGTCTATTATGCCCTTTTTGAGTCGCATCTTCGTTATGCCCTTCCATTCTGGGGTACTTGCTGCGCGACAAAATTTGATCGTATTTTCAAACTTCAAAAGAGAGCAGTTCGATACTTATTGGGACTAAACAGTAGAACTCACTGCCAGAATTTCTTTAAAAATTTCAAAATACTGACTCTTCCTTCCTTATTCATTTTTGAATCCGTTTGCTTAATCCGCAAGCACATATTCTCTATTCCGGAAAGGCCTTCTCACAACTATCCACTTAGGAATGCGGAGCACGATATTTATCTGCCAACCCCGAGCTCAGAACTAGTTAAGGGCTCAATACTGTACAATGCCAAGAAAATGTACAATCATTTGCCTTCGAATATCAAGTCACTTTCATTCTTTCCCGCATTTCGCAAAGCTCTGAAATCATACTTACTGGAGAGAGCCCTATATGCGGTAAACGACTTTTTTGTTGATGTTTAATCATGAACAATTTAGAATTTTAATTTTAATATTTTGATCATCTCACACACTGGTTAAAGGTCTAGTATTTAATATTTTATAACTCTTGATTTTATGTTATTATAACATGATTTTATCCATTTACAGTTTTCCTTTTGTAAAATTTTCTAGATACGCCTGTGTTCTGCAATGTCCATATATGTTTATTTGTAATTTTATGACGTAATTTTTTTTTTTTTTTGATTTTGTATTGTATGACATTTTTGTAGTATTTGTATATTTGTTTTTTGCTTTTTTTGTTTTGCTTTGTCGATGAAGCTGTTTTGGCTTTTTGTACAATAAAGCGTTGTTTTGTTTTTTTTTTCAAACGCCATATCCAAACTACTTCCATTTAAATCCCGAATAACTTATGTGAAGCAAGTAAAAAACTTGCGAGAAGAAATAAAGTTTTTAACCTATCCTCGCTGTTAAAGTATTATTTTTTAATCTACCCTTGAGGTTAAAGTACTATTTTATCTACTATTTTTGATATAAGACAATTTTAAAAGTTGCTATGGAAAAAAATAAATAAATGCCGATGATATCATTTAAAAATCAAAAGGTGTAATCATTTCCGGGGAAACAGGAAATGACCGAAAACAATTGAAAACGTCAATCAATCCTGGTTTATATCATATACTAAACTAACATA